GGGGGGGGGGGGGGGATATATACATGTAGTGTTGCACATGTCCGTCTCGTCGCGTCGCTTCCCGTCCCGTTCCGTCATGTCGCGTCCCGTCCCGTCCCGTCCCGTCCCATCCATGAGCGGGGCATTTGTGTCTTACAGACATTTTCTAGTTGTTTCAGTGTTTAGTTTACTGTCGCCTTCCTTTATTTTTTATTTCTGTTTTTACTTTTGAATCATATTTTGTTTTTGTGCCTCCTTAATTACTGTTGCAATCCTTTGGTTTAGTTTTTTCCTCAGTTGATGTTCCTTTCCTTGTTGTTTTGGTGTCTTCTCAGTTGTTGCTGTCATCCTTTTGTTTTGCCTTATCTCAGTTGCTGCTCCATTATTTGTGCTTTGCTGTTTCATCAGTTCCTTTTTGTTTGGTTGTCTCCTTAGTAACTGATGCCTTCGCCGTTGTGAGGTAGTCTCTTCAGTAACTGTGCCTTCGCCTTTGTGAGGTAGTCTCCTTAGTAATTGATGCCTTCGCCTTTGTGAGGTAGTCTCCTTAGTAGCTGATGCCTTCGCCTTTGTGAGGTAATCTCCTCAGTTACTGATGCCTTCGCCTTTGTGAGGTACTCTCCTTATTAACTGATGCCTTCGCCGTTGTGAGGTAGTCTCCTTAATAACTGATGCCTTCGCCTTTGTGAGGTAATCTCCTTAGTAACTGATGCCTTCGCCTTTGTGAGGTAGTCTCCTTAGTAGCTGATGCCTTAGCCTTTGTGATGTAGTCTCCTTAGTAACTGATGCCTTCGCCTTTGTGAGGTAGCCTCCGCAGTAACTGATGCCTTCGCATTATTGAGTTAGTCTCCGAAGTAACTGATGCCTTCGCCTTTGTGAGGTAGTCTCCTTAGTAACTGATGCCTTCACCTTTGTAAGGTAGTCTCCGCAGTTTGTGTATCCATTAATCTGAGGATGTGGTATATTTGACTTTACTTAAATATTAACAAGTTTAATCTCAAAGAGTGCTTTTATATATATATTCAAGATATTCAATACTAAACATATAATTTGTTCAGAACAATTCAATTGAAATACCTTTAACATTAATTATTAGTTTGTTTAAGTATTAGTTGCGCAAAACAGTTATTACACAAATTGTTAGAGATATTTAATCTTGAAATTACAAACTTAAAACATCATTCGCGGTGTCGTCGAAAATATTGAGACCAGATAAGATATAGAGGACAACTAAGGGAAAAAATAAATTCCAATTAGGATACGGTGGCTAGAAAATCTAACACTAAACAGAGGTACGGTGACGCCGCAGTGACGTCAATCTAGGAACCCATTATACAGTACTGTAGCCCCATGTTTCAAATAAAACCGGTCATGTACCGATACGATGTTAGCGCCACACAACATATGTGATTGAAAACACATAAAGAGAGGAATGTTGTATAACTCTACTTTGGAGGCATGTACGGTCCAACATGATCTAATATTTACAGCGGAATGCCGCTTGGTTTCTAGAAACAGATAACATCCCCATGTTATGTATTCCAAGAGGTGGATCCAGGATCGTGTATAAGTGTGGACGTGACATTTACTGGAAATGTCCATCAAAATATACTTACAACACCATCAATGTACCTCAATCATTATGTAAACTTTGAGTAATGTAAACACACCCACTACCCACACCCCAACCCCTCTTCCTGGATGTATGTTTTGTTAAAGAGCAAGCGGTGACATATTGTACTATTGTATAACTCTAAGTGGTTAGATATTATAAATCAACTTAAAGACATCTGCTTCCTTATATCATACTAAAGGTTTGTTTTAGAACCGTCTCCTTTGCCATTAAACAAAAAGTAGATTTAACTCTCTTTCATTTCCTTAGACATCAAGATTTCTTTTACTTCTTTGGTTAAATCTTAAATGCTTTTTAAACCAATGCAATATAATTATATTTTTGTTTATATTTATTCTCTAGAATGGTTATGTTTGAATTTAAGGGTATGCATGTTCTGCCTTCTGTTTTGATAATTATAGAAATAGCTATTTAAGTCCAACCCTAATGCGTCAATATGTTTCATTTTGTCATCAGAAAAACACCAAATATATAATATATAATATATAATAAGTTAATACATGAGGAAAGATAGTTTTTGAACAAATCAAGTCTACTCCAATTGTCTGAAATACAGGAGAGAAGGGAATCGCAACCTCTTAAGCTTATTTCAGTCTTCTCGAAACGTTTGAACATGTAATCATATTATCATGCATTAACTTGACTTCACATACACTGTACGACAGGTATGTTCGATGATATGATATTTCATGCTCTGAAAAGCGCATGCATCGATAAATTAACGTAATCACAACTGGCAAAGTTTCGTTCAGGATAAGTTCATGAGTTAATGTTTTGTCAATTTTCCTTTACTGAATGTTTATTTTTCGAACTTCTATAATTTATCAATTCACTTTGACTGAATGTTTTGTAAAACACCTATGACAGAATGTTCAATCAAATCTCTTTGAATGATAATAAATCTCCTACTGGATGATTTATCAAATCTCTTTTGATTGAATGTCTTCATCAAATCTCTCAGACTGAATGTTTTATCAAATCTCTCAGACTGAATGTTTTA